GCATACATGACATTAAGCTCCCTTTTACGAAGGCTCTTGGCGAATGACTTCGTATTGAGCAAACGCCCGTCTTTAGTCTGGTAATCTTTCTTATCGCCATATTCCCCCGGACTGATAGACTTGATAGCACTACCCCGACAACATATCGTTCTGGTCCACTTCTTCCGTATAATCCTAATCTTAACCTACCTTAACCCTAATATATCCGTTCACTCGCATCATCGTATACCAGTCTTCTTTTCTTCTCTCCCCCCTCTCTCTCTCTTGTCCTGCCTCTCCTTTTCTTACCGGGAGAAATGGCAATCCCCGAGAGTCCAACCTGCACCGCTGTGGGCAAACAACTACTGCGAAACAATGGATTCCAGCTGGGAGCACCCGGCGCAATGTGCAGAGCACTCGCGAATAGTGCGCAATATTTCTGATAACTTCCTCCCGTACCTGCATGTCTGACGCTGCTGCTGCCTATGCCCTCTTTTGTACTCTACTCGCTCTGTCAATCTAACTGAGCACATCATCTGCCATATCTTCAATCAAGAAGTTGTATAGGAGCTTCCTCGTATCTTTGCTACTGCTCCTGTAAGTCGTATGTATTTTCTTGTCCAGTCGGATGGTCGATACGTGGCTTTTTTTTTGCCGCTGCATCCACCAAGAACACTGCATATAAATCCACCGTCCGCATTAAAGGCTGAGTAGTCAACGAGCTCCAAACCCCCTCGCGCCTACAACCGGAAGCTTCTTCCTTGCTTATACTATATAATCTTGCACTCGTCCGTAGAAGGCTGGCCGATAGACAGCGTCTCCCTCGGTACACCCTTGCTCTTGGATGCATGATCCTCGTAGGTACATCGACAATCAGTACGTGTATGGAATACACGAAGTTGGCTATCAATATGCGCGTATAACACTCTCTTTGGGCTTGATCCAGGAAGCAATATAAGTTTTTCGGTTGGTACCGGGCTGTCGTAGGTCTTGAAGGTGGCTTCGATACCAATCTAGACTATAGGCTGAAGACGTAGAATGGTGGCTTAGACGCTTAAAATCAAGTCTAGAGTTGTGGGTAATGATAAGCCTGGTGGTTGTCCTTGTATATTGATAGTGTCGTACGGACGTGTTTTGCCGTGAGGACGGTGGAAAGAGACGAAGATATAAAGTGAGAATGGCAGAGTACTCGACATTGAGATTGTTGTTGCGACATGTTCGGGCCCACGCGCGAAGTAAACCATGTGGCCATGGCGGTATAGTCCTGTTCAGCCGCTTTTTCCGAATCGTGGTTTCGTGGTAGATGAAGGTATATAATATAGTTCGTCGTAGTTTCTGTGGATGTACTTCGTAATGGGAGTGTGGACAGCACCAGCTGTGGCTAGGGATGGTGACTGGCATGTCCGGCCACGAATTTGAGCAAACCATATTGTCGGTAAGGTACAATCTTCTTTTGCTCCATTTGTGGTACAATCGCTTCGTGTTGAGCGAGGATCTGGTTTGATTCATACTCGTCATTGGATATGCTCTCACTGAGGGAGGCAGCATACTTGTCAAGGGTCGTGACTGGGTATAGCGACTCCAGTTCTTGTGGCACCTCACTCCATCCTCGTCCAGTTTGCGTATGTCTTCCTTTCCTAGTTTCTTTGAAGGTATATACTGAGCCGGTATACAGAGTAGGCTGGCGTCCCTCACTGATTTTTAGAACAGCTCAAGTTGGGCATGGAGTTGCCGGTTCGTGGTACGCAACTCAAGCTCTTGCACAAGAGCCCAAATAAAACTTTGGTGTGCATGCACACCCGCACCACCATGCTGACGAAGTGACTTCGCTTGCGCCTGGTCAAGGGATATCTCATCTGACCTAGAAGGTTTTAGTACGTGCTTGAGGGTGCTCTCAAATAGCAATTTACTCTGACTGGGGTAGTTTTGGTACATTCATTATCGGTTGAATGTTTTATTGGGGAGAGCCAGGAGTGATGTTGATTTCCGTCGTCGTCTCCCGCACTACTCTTGACGCTGACTGGGTTCTCACTGTTCGTCTTGTGAGGATTAGGTTTGTAGATTGGCGTTCGACAAGGAGTCGGGGAAAGTGAAAAGGATGGGGGTGGTGTGAATAAATGGCTCGACGGCGCGAAGAGTACTGGGTGAAGATGCCTCAAAGAAGACGGGATAAGAAATAGTTAGAATTTGTATAGAACGACAGGAAATTTGCCAGCATTTATCGTGAGTTTCCCGGCATTAGGAAAGAAATGAACGAATGGCGTCTTGGTCACTGCGTCAAGATATATGTGTAAGAAATGACATAGGGAAAAGAAAAGGTTGGTCATATAAAGGGCTAAGAGTTGTTCTGCTGTTCTGAAAAACATCAATCTCAGAAAGCACAACCTCTGATAAATAGGTGCAGAGCAGATGGTTTGATTGGCCCTAAGGTTGTAAAAGTTCCGTGAAAAGAGCTTTTGGCAAAGAATAGCAAAAACGATAGTAGACCAATCAAAATGTCACAAGCACGATACAAGCCCAACTTCACAAGCGGATCACTCTGTTTTCCACAGGGCAAGCACATAATTTCGAGGCCAGTGGCGCAATTACGAAATAGCAAGCACAAAATCATGAATGGAAGATATGGGAAACATGGATACAATCAATACCACAATCAGGACACTGTAATCATGGCACTACGAATGCAAGAAAACCAACCGAAAACAAAAATCAAGACATCACGAGCACGCCAAAACAAATTTGTTATCACATTCACTGCATCGCATACACATGATCATAGCCATAGTATCCTGCTTTTAAAATCCAGTCAAAAGCTCCCTCCCTCAGCTGAGAATCATCTTCCGTACAACATCTGCCGTATATCATCATTCCATTCGTTACCTGTCTCGATCCACAACTACCTGTAATTTGCGTTGCGCTACATATGTGAAGATCATAGCAGAGCTTCACAACAGTCTCCCATATATTGGGTGTCCACCACGTTTACCAGGCAGACTACACGCTTGGTCTTTTTGGTACTTCTCCAGATCTCAAGGGCGTCAAGAATCTAGAGGATATAATGAATATCATTGCACGAAACCACCCGCTGTACTTTCTACGTGTGTACATCAACCTTTGTGTCATTCATGGCCTTTGGAGACGAGGCTAATTCTGAATCTGGCTTGGGATATAACCACCAAGACATGCTGTCTTGGGTTTGCAGTAGGAAGAGGGACGTGGGGGGTAAATGATATTTTGAGATTCTCGCGTTTCCTCTGTTCCGTATATAGGGACTAAGTCACTATACGTGTTCTAGGCTGTGCGGTCAATGACCAACGCCTTCGGCTACATAGCATGAGCGGATACTTTCTCGTCGACGCACACACCTTGGTTCATACAGCGCAGCTATCAGACTGAAGACCCATGGGAAAAACAGCTCAACCTCATCACCGCCAAGCACGACGGCAAGTACGCATATATCGAGTACAACCACGAGTTTCACGCTGCGTCGAAAGCCATTGATGAAAAGGGCCAGACCACCCAGAAATAGAGATGGGAGGCGAACTTACAGGACTGGGAGGACAAGGGGCAGCCTGGCGATAAGCCCGAAAGGCCTTCCCTAAACGTTGCAGATCCCGCCATACCAACCGTCTGCATACGCCGTTCACCATAATTCTCAACCTTACCTTGCACCAAGCTCATTCACCCTAAAAACTTCGTTTGGTGATCATTTAGGGTGGCTGAAGGATGCTGCAGAAGACTTACTAAATGAGAATCCCTCACCGATCGTCCCTGGGATCAGTCCCAACTACGTTTATGTGCTCTCACAAAAATTGAATGGCTTGTATACACCTAAAGATTTTTGGAATGCATGATATTTGTCTCCCGCGGGACGACACGAGCTGTATGTCTCATTTGATGTATTCGGTCGCGGCCTACCACAACGCACGCATCCTGAATAACTTTCCTAACATAATCAATGCTATCAAGGAATGGTTTGGCCCTGGGTGGTTGCGAACCAGTATGGCAACATCATTAGCACTGTTTCCACTTCTGTAGCAATTGCTACATCAACTGCGTCATGGATTACGGACACATGCTACTCTCTTCGCGTCTTCACAATCGGCATAAGGCTTTGTTGGCAGCGCAGGTGATAATGTCATGGTCATGGATATGGACATAGATAGGGACACTGAGGGGGAAGTGCTGATGGGTGAACACTGAATACATGGAAAATAGTTACGGAGATTTGTCACGGACATAATATTTCTTTTTCCGTCGAAAGGGGGCAGATGTTACTATGGTAAGACTTCATATGTCGTGTATAAGAATCAATCAATGAATACCATTGATAAATATTATTCTTGTACATCATTTATCGTGACGCGATATCTCCAGCATTCTCAAAATGAAGAGTTTGTGCTCCAGAGACTTGGACTTTGGCGAGCAATCTACGTGTCTAGTCACCTGGTGTAACATAGAGTGTGAACAGGAATGATCTTTTGCTAAAAGATGAGGTGCAAGAATGAATATAGTACAAATACAAAGTTGCTCAACCAATCATGTAGGTATTTCCTGTGTTGAGACTTGTCCAAAAATTGCGTCCAATCCGCGTCCAACTGGAAGACTTCGTCTTCCCGCATGACCCGCTCATGCAGCTGCCAGAGTGCCGTGTGTCATCTCTTCGTGTCAGAGAGGGAAATTAAGGAGAGTGCATTTACTATGACTTCATTATCGATTTTAAAGCAGCCCCGATTGCCGCAGTTGCAGGAGATGTCGTGTTTAGACTTCCATGATGGTCTGGTTGTGGCTTTCTTTTTAATACCTTTCTTAGGTGAGCTATAGTAGCCTTCATCTGGAGAATCTTGGATGGCTTGTTCGTCTTTGCCACCGCTATTATATTCGTCATCGTTGTCGCATCCGACGCCGTTTGCTTCCGCTCTACCCCTGATCGCGCTTGGGAAGTTACTGGAAGTTGGACTTGGCGCACGAGAGCGAATCATTCGACTAGTCTCTTCAGAATGTTGTGCGGCATCTTTCTGAGAAGAATGGGACTTTCGTAAAACAGGACTGTCTGTCAGAGGTTTGGAGTGCGGTTCCTGGGAAGCGGCTCTTTTGCTTAGCACTACCAAGTCACCACCAGGACTCAGAAAACCCCGGGGGTTTGGGTATCCACGGGCCCCCTCAATCCATCGAGAAAGCTCTGGTCTGACCGCTTGGTTTACCCATTCATGCATATTCTTAAGCACCATGCGTAAGACAAAGACACCCCAAGAAATCTCCAGTGAGGTTGCCCATATACATCGCATAACGATTTTCTTCTAATATATGTCAACCCCAATGCAAAATGTGAGGTATGTCCTTGACAACTTACGGGCCGCCTGTATGTGAGCCAAAGCTTGACATGCGTACCAACACATGTGAAAGAGAAGATGACGAGAGCCTCAGGGTTAGGTTCGTTCTTTTTCGAAGCTAGAAGCAGCTTCTCCCGTAGGCTGAGGGCGTCGGCAGAGGCATTCGCAGCTTGGCAATAGCACATTCTTTCTGGATCGCCATCTACGATAGCGGACTTTACCTCAACGACAGCCCAGGGGAAGCACATGAGATCTGGACCGCGCATTTGGTCCCTCGTGGGCTCCGAAGAGTCCCATCGCCCTAGGGCTTTCCGCGGCGAGGACAACACACCGCTGTCTTTTCGGAGTTTATTGAGCGTTGGAAGAGAGAAATTCTCAGTCCATGGATGCGTTAGATATGGTTTGTAGACAGGGTCGGTGGTATCGATAATGGGGAATCCGTAAGTAAAGTCTGGTATGGGATATGTCAGGGTATTTTTGCTGTCTCGGAAGCCAAACGAGGATGATTGCTGGAACTCAGTCCAGTGAATTTCTTGATGTCTAAAATGTGGATGAGTAAAACGAAGTTAGTACATGGGGATGTGACTTACCGCGTCAAGCGTAGCAGCATGTTGCTTTTCTCTGGTTAGCTATGTCCCACACCAAACGTCCTAAAACTCACTTGAAAGAATCGGAGCCTGCTTCGTCACTTCGATAGACTGTGAAGATATGTTCCTGCAAGACATTTTGCCATTCGCGCTCAAATTCTTGATCTCCGCGTAGCTTGACGAACTTTTGTGAGATGTCAAAACAGGATTCCAATTCTTTCCGTACCCTCAGATTTATAGTATCAGCTCTTCCAAAAAGATTCGTCCCTGGAGATGCAGTTTCAAAATCCTCGTCGTCAGGTTGCAAGTCCCACCTATCGACAGAACTTTCGAATGACTTAGTATTGGTCATGTTATTGTACTCGTTTGTGTCCAGATCACGGAAATTTTCAAGTTCGTCTCTGAGTTCGTCTCTGATGTTGCAAGGAATTTTGGTCCGCCGGCGTATGAGAAGCTGACGAATTGGTTGGAGCCATTTCATTAACTTGTGGGGATAATGGACTTCGCTATAAAAGAAGATGTTGTTTTCTGCAAGTGTTTGCCCACTGATTCTAGGTTTCTTAGTACTTGGATTCGACAGTGACATCTTGAAAGGGAATGAGAAATCTGTTGTATAGTTTCCTCTGGTTATGATGTTACTTTAAACCACTTGTTACCATGTCAGGATATGAATGTAGGCCTGTGGCACAGCTGTCGAGTGCGCGAGGCTGAAACAGCATCGGCTAGGTGTCTACCACACCAACCTTACGCCATAGCCTCTTACATGGAGACTAAAGTTGCTACTGCCAAATCATATCCCTGAAAATATTCAAGACTGACAATGCGCACTTTATCCTTTCACCAAGACCAATTTGATGTAATTGAAACGTGGAGTAGCGTGACAGCACTCCGCCCCCTTGAGGCTCGTGCGTACGTAGGATCGCGGTTTTCGTGATCTTTTAGGGAAACGCTCATTCCATGAAACACATGGTTACACAAACCCAGGAATTACTTCCACTTCGGTATACGAAGAATTACATAACAAAGATAAGCATATATTGTAAGTGAGCGCAGAAAGGGCGATACTAGTGCCGTACACCCCCACACCAACCACCTCTCACTCCCTTGTTCACGTCGCTTAAGATAGAGCCAGCCAGGCTGTAATTTCTTTACACATAGAAGGATCTAAGAACGGATAACACGGATGCAAGTCGCAAGAGCGATGCGGAGCCGAATCCTACACTTGATTCAGCCACTTCATTGTACTGAAGCAGTCCCTTGAGCATGAGCATGCTCACGCATCTAAGCCGTAATTGCTACTATCTATAGTGTATAACGGAAGAGAACTCCGGGCCCATTGGCAACTCCCTCTGCACCGATAGCCTGGTCTGATTTGCGATTGAGTTTCTGGAGCCAAAATCGAAGTGTGAGAGATGCAGCTGCGCAGCAGAGTAACGCCACAGTCAACACAATACATCCCATACGGTAAAGACTAGATACGTGAGTCAATTGCGTTTCATGATGAGAATCATGTGATACTTACGGTGCACTCCATTCAGGGTAAAGGTATGCAGTGGCAATGTTCGTTGCATTAGACACGGCCGTAGCCAAGGCAAGTGCCACAGCTCTCTTTGCCTTTGGGCGCGCAACAGTGGCAGAGACCCAGGGCAAGATGAGTTGAAAAGCTGAAAACGAACCCATAGCTTGCAGAAACATGGCGAAATATCGAGGGCCAATCTGATGCGTTGACATGGAGATGATTTGCCCAACGGCAGATATCACACACGCAGTGACAATGTGAAAGCAATGTTCGCCTGTGCGTCCTGAGTGCCATGAGTTGAGGATCGAAAAGAAGAAGGCTAAGAAATAAGGAGGCGCAGTGAGTAGCAAGGTTTGAACACGTGGGAATCCGAGCGTCTTGACAATGGATGGGAAGAAGTACGTGAAACTCATAGAAACGACGGCACAAGTTTGGATGAACACCAGTAATGGCTAGATATTAAAAGGAATTAGCCCCATAAATTCGAAAACGTCAGAATCTTTTTGATACCAAGGCTACTCACCACTTTCGGATCGGAAAAGGCCTGTTTCAGGCCAGTGAAAACGGACTCTTCGACCTCGTCTGCTACACCATCGTTCTCGCGTTCAAGCCGCCATTGGGCCATAGCAGTCTCTTCAGCTGAAAAAAACGAGGTGTTCGAGGGATAGTTGGGTAAAAGCATATACCCACCAAACGCCATGATGATCGTAAGCGCACCTTCGATAATGAAGCTAAAAGTGGCCAAGTGAGAATTTACTCATTTGAATTTCAGGCCAACACTCACATCCACCTCCAAGAAGGATAGCCACCCAGCCCCTCCATCCCATCAACGATGCCAGCCGCAATAAGACCACCAAAAGCGGATGACAGCGTGTACCCCGAGTAAAAGGTTGCAATGCGACTAGGCAACTCCTTCCGCGTGTACCAACAAGAGAGGAAGAAAATACAACCGGGGAAGTACGGTGCCTCTGTGACTCCAACTAGAAACCTCAGTGCCACCAATCCAGCATGATTTTGTACGAATCCGGTAGCGCCAGACACAATACCCCATACTATAACGACAGTGGGTAAGTAAAGTTGCGGTTTGAATATTGACAGAAGCATGTTTGACGGCACCATCATGGAAATATAACCAGCCCACAATACCATTACGGCCGTTTGGTATTGCACATCGTCGATGCCTAGCGACACTTCCAAGCCCCCGAGACGAGCATTAGCGATGGCGTTTCGGTCGAGGACATTGAGCAAAAAGAGGACGATTAATATAGGAAGGGAGCGCAAATCAATCTTCCGGACGAGTTTCTTCTCCAACGATGCTAGTTGCTCGGGCGTATAGTGGCGCAGGATGTCAGGAACTGGGCTGTGAGTATCATGTGTAGCTTCGACCTGCCCGAATTCTATCTCTTTCTTCTTGATTGAGCTTCTATCCGTATCCATGATAGGAAGATAGATGTACTTTGAATCCAAAAAAGCAAATGAGAATGCTGGTTTAAGTTGTAGAGGATTACGAAGCAACAAAAACAGTAGTGACGGGTTTACTATTTATAAAGCCGATTTCGAAGAATGATTGATTTCGGGCGTAGATAGTTCCCCGCAGGAATAACACCCCCGCATCATGCGGGTGATCATCTATGCCATATTATAGATTAGTAGGATCGCTAACGCCTACTATGCGCGTGAGCTGTAAGCCAAGGCTGTGGATCACGGCGTTTTGGCCGAGGTGGACGGCGCGCTTAACTGTGCCATAGGCCCACTCTCTCCGATGATACTTGAGATGTACATCGCCATAGCGTCGAGTCATATCAGTCTGAATCTTTCTTTGTTTTATACTTGGAAGACATCGTAAGAAGTAACAATAAAATATGGTGAGAGCTCAACAGGTTACGAAGGGAATTACAGTGAAGTAGTGGTCCTTTAGCTCGATCGTTTTGGAAATACGAGACGCAACAGCGGGTACCGTTGTCGGGTATAAATCTATGTTTCCTAAGCCTGAAGAATCGGACGGTGTACGACTTTTCTTGATAATGACATTCCTAACCGTTCCTGTTATTTCTGGTACCACAGCGCTGAGCATTTATTCTTCGATATTTGAGGTGCAGGTGCGAGTTGCATTGAGAAATGGTCTCGTCTGAGTAGACTTCATGTCGGCGAATGCCGTAAGAACGTTTTGCAGTGTAATTGCAAGGATCTCAGTTTCGTGATGAATTCCCCTGATGAGCAGATTGCATCCTTATTGTAGATTCTGGAACTGTCCCGGTAAAGCGCAAACCGCCAAAATATTATTATAGAGGCCCAAGCATTCATAAACACCCAAAGCGATGGTGGTGAGACTATTTTCCAGATCCACACTGTGTTTGGCGTTCCGACCCATCCGCAAGAACAATGGATAACCATCTCAAATCGAACATCGACTATAAATACCAATATTCAGGACACAACATGCGCTCAGTTACTTGATGCATAATATACTGCTCAAAGTTTGGCGAGAATGCTACTACAATACTACATGAAAGTCAGAAGATGCTCTATCGTGGCTGGGGCACGAGCCAATAGAATATCCGGATCTTCTCTCGGCCCGGCACTAGCGCGCAGGTACAATATGAGTTCCAGAAACTTCTGCCTCAATGCCCCCTCTACATAATTCCATTCTCCAACCCACCTTTTTAATTAAAACTGTTTATTTTCTCTTTCTCAATCTCTCCTGCTCTGCGATCAGCTTCCTGGGCCATAATTTGTAAGTAATGCATTGTACATTTCCCACATTTGAATGATGAGACACAAGCTGGCACCAGTCTGAGAAGACTTGTACTCTTTGCATGCGGATCAGCTGCATAGACTTTTTAGTCGCCCACTGACATCTCTTCGATACATGCGTTCTTTTGATCAGTTTGGCAATGTTGAAGCTGACCAATTTGTAATAGAAGTTACTACCAATTACCTGACGCGTGTTCTCTCTTCGCAACCATGGTCCTCCACAACCCTAACAACTGGCATTGGGTCAACAAGGACGTCTCAGTGTGGACGCGCGAGTATCTTGACAAGGATCTTGCGCAAATATCTGCCGAGAAAAATGGTGTCACAGCAAAGATTGACAAGGTGGTGAGCATGGACGGAGACGTCGATGTGAGCCAACGCAAGGGCAAGGTGATCACCATCTTCGACGTGAAGCTGAAGTTGGAATACTCAGGTATGTCGTTTTCCCGGTTGCACTCCTCTTGGGCGAGCTGACTCGGTCGGCAGGCAAGAACAAGGAGGGTGAGGAGACTAGCGGCACTATTACCATTCCAGAGGTCGCTCACGACACCGAGGAAGACGAGTATGTCGTATGTTCCCTGCGCTTATCCGCTTTCCCAATACTTCTATCATGCTATTGAATCATTACTGACGTTTTGGTGTAGTTTGAGGTAGATGTTTACTCTGAAGACAGCAGCAAACAGCCCGTAAAAGAGCTAGTACGCTCTGACATCCTGCCGCAATTGCGAAAATCCTTCGCAAAGCTCGCACCAGCGATCATGGCTGAGCATGCAAAGGATATCCAGCATGCGCCAGGCACCAACCCTAGCACCAACTTCACGGCTGCCAAGGTTTACTCGAGTTCGAGCGTGAACAAATCGAGCAGCTCCAAGCCCGAAGCAACATCTTCCGAAAAGAGTAGCTCTGGTGCAGTTGTCAACGTGACGACAATTACAGACAGCGCAGAGTTCCGAACAGACGCAGCCAATCTGTACCAGACTTTCACAGACCCTCAGCGTCTAGCCGCATTCACACGCGCACCGCCCAAGAACTTCACAGGTGCCAAGCCTGGCGGCAAGTTTGAGCTATTTGGCGGTAACGTCAGTGGAGAGTTTACCGAGCTTGAGGAGCCGACGCATATTGTCCAGAAATGGCGACTTGCACAATGGCCCGAGGGACACTACTCGACGCTTTCGATATGGTTTGATCAGAACGACATTGATGCAGTGACTGTGATGAGAGTAGAATGGGCAGGCGTACCGGTTGGTCAGGAGGAGCCCACTAAGACCAACTGGGAGCAGTATTATGTGCGAAGTATCAAGACGACGTTTGGCTTTGGCACGGTATTGTAAGCGGCCAAGGCTCAGTTGCATTGTATTGCGGCACAGGAGTACAAGGCGTTGGAGGAGTTTACGAATGCATACGAAGTGACGGACCCGAAAGGGCATGAATGATAGGCATGATGGTAGGTGTACATGTAGAGACAATACAAGAGGTCTGATGACCAATGAAAGACGATGATTGTGCATGATGATCTTGAATGATGTGAGGTCTATGCAAATGAAAATGAAAATAATTTTTTCTAAGCATGTGTATTGGTAATCTCGCTGATTGCTGCGCTGTATTACTTTTTCACGTCCGTTCATAAACCTGGGGATCAAAAAAGGGGACAAAGGGGTATTCGAAAGCTGTATTCACCGATGTCAGTACCTATGATGGCATATGGCGGTAAGTTGAATAGACAGTGCAAATAGGCAGTGTTGATGAGATGTGGATAAGGTGATTGTTGGATGAATAAGCAGGGCACGTGTTCATGGTGAGTGGTCAACGTCATAGGGGTCTTGTTGGTGTAAATACTAGTACGGACAAAGATATTTACACATGTATGTGCATGGCACATGGCATATATGTACATAGATAAGTACGTATACATGCATATATGCGTACGTAACCAAGTATATGGAGTCAAGTATATACTAGGTACCACGACCACGACTACGGAGTAAGTACTTTCTGGTGCTGTGAGACAAGGCGGGCCCAGGCGATGGACAGCGACAAGAGGCGGACGCATGGAAACGCTACAGCGCCGAGCTTGTTGTGGTTGGAAGCCGTTGCAGGAGCGTTGCAAAAGTGGCCGTGGGGTCCGAGTGGTGCGGGCGCGTCCCCTGCTAGCGGGCGTCGCATGAAGGCTGGGAAACAGTTGGGCGTTGCAAGGCCGCATCAGCCGTCGCGCCATGTCTGTCCACATCAACCACTGTGCGGCTGCCATTGCCATTGCCATTGCTGCTGCTGCTACACATGCACATACCATTACTGCCATCGCTGCCATCTGAACTGCCTGACGCCTGCCTGGTTGTTGTTTTACGCCCCGCGACCAACAACTGACGCGACACCGTCAGCTTGGCTGCTATTAGCACTCCCGCTCTTAGTCGGACATAGCAGACCACCACCAACTTTTTCATTCACCCTCCCATAACCACTCACCTGCACATGGCGTGCTCCCCTGCCCGGCCTCGCTGAGAGGCTCCCCGTCTCAGCCCACCTGTCCCTCTTCCCCTCCTGCATCCTTCCTCTCCACCCCTCTCCACATCCCCCCCCCCCCTCGTTGCCGCGGAGTGGCTCCGCGACAAGCGGCCGTGCGGCGACACAAAACACAAGAGATATGGCGCCCTCTGGCACGAGCATGTTTTCCAAGTTCCGGCCTGGCCATGCGAAGCGCAATGCCTCATCCGTCGCCTCTCCAGAACAGGCCGTGTCAAGCCCCACCCCTTACCCACTTCCAGGCCCAGCGTCGCAATCCACCGAGTACTTGTCATCGCCGCGTTTCCACCAACATCAACAACATGCCAGCCTCCAAGCTGCCCCGTCCCCCGTATCGCCCTTTCCACCCAAGCTGCCGCCCATTGCCCGCGTCGCCTCCAAGCTGGACAAGTCGCCCTCGCCAAGCAGTTCGCATTACACTCCCAGCCAGCATTCGGCCACCACCACCGACGGCAGCCCCAGCAACGTGATGGCCCACGATCCCACCATGCTGTCTCCTCCCCAACGGTCGCATGACTTTCCCTCGCCGGTCCACGACCAAAAGCCTCTCTCAGCCCGCTCCAATACGGCAACCTCGCCTCTCGTGTCCCTGCACTCCCTGTCCGAGACTCCCTCGGCCATTTCCCCTAGCCACTACTCCATGTTCTCCAAATCCCAGCCCTCACTACTGAGCGGCATCAGCGATAAGCTCACAGGCAGCTCCAAGGGGACATCAACACCTACCGTGGCACCACCACCACCACCCCAAAAGTCAAGATCCAGGCTCAATCTGCGGAAGCCAATGTCTCTCCTCATGCGACGAAAGTCGGCACAGACACTGGATCCTCTGGCCGACGAATCCCTCGTCACCCAGCGCTCGCCTTCCAACCTCCCGCCCATGCCCGATAACTACGACCCGAGTATTCGCGGAAAGATTGTACACGACTTCAATGCCCCCAGGCTCAACAGAAATTATTCCTACAACAACTCATCGGAAGCAGCCGAGCCACAACTCGAGGTCGCTCGCGCCAGTCCGCCGAAAATCGACAGGGAGCACACGCCGGTCTTTCGCGAGCATTTCGACGATGACACCAGCTATGAGCAGTCGCAGGCGGCGATAAGAGCAGAAAATCTGGCCAACAAGGACTTTTTAGCACGAAATTCTGTCCAATTTCCTCCACCCGAAAACTCACCACTTCCTCCTCCCATGCCACCTAAATCCTCACCGGTACCACCACAGCCTGCGCCATCAACTTCCCAACCACCGCCTCGGCCGTCGTTCCAAGGAATGGATGGTGTCAATTCGGTACTGTCGCCAGTGCAAGAGTCTGAAGACCCATCTGATGTTTCCGCAGACGTCACGCCACGGAAAAAGAAATCAACAAAAGCAAGCATGCCCCCAACACGCTCAAGGGCCACCTCCGTCACAGATCCCTCTTTCCAGCCAGATGGACTCCCTGCACATTTCAGTAGTAGAGCTTCAAGATTCAGCTTCCAGATCTCAGGCGGCACGGATTCTGCACAGGAAAAGCTGCTCGAGGAGCGGCACAAGGCAAAGGAGGCGGAAAAGAAGCAAGCACGAATTTCTACAAATTCTGTTGAGGATGAGTACGACGAATACGGCATGGATGACTACGATGACATGGACGGTGGGTTTGATGAGGAGATTCCCATGCTCGGTGACGAAGATGAGTTCACTGGCGGATTAGGCAACCAAACGCTCGACTCTGGCATCAATGGGTTTGACTTTTCATCTTTGTCGATACAACAAAACATGGACAACCCAATGAATTTTGCGCTTGGACAGATGCAAATACCCGTCGACATGAATGGTAATCCCATAGGGTTCGCCATGCCCGGTCCCATGTTTCAGCAAAATTATATGTCAGCGATGAATAACCTAGCTGGTGCGCCGAATGCGACAAACACTCAACTACATGGCCTAGGATTGAGTAATTCCCAAAGCGAGGGCGATAGCTCTTCACCAGTTAAGCCGGCGGATGCACCCACCCAAGGTGCACCCGCTAGCAGCAGCCAGCCAGTATCAAACAATCTCGATCTCGACGACGACATGTACTTTGACGATGGGCTGATTGGCGATCAGGATGTGGGTGCTACGGAATTCGACGAAAGTGTCTTCGACGATCCCGATGGGCCACTCTTTGACAGAAAGGTCAAGCTCCCTGCGGAGGGACAGTCATCCACTGCTCAGCCTCGCGCATACGATGTGCTGGACCCCGAGACCGGTTACGAGGCCGATGATGATATCGTTTCCCAAACACCCGACAAGTCAGCCCCTTCTCTTGCTCACAAGACTTCTATTGCACAGCAGATGGCAGTGCCCAGCTTCGAGAACCTCAGTGCTTACCACAGTGCACTTGCAGATGCGGCAGTCCGGGCCGAGGCTGCTGGCCGGTTTGATAGGAAGATGAGTGTGGATGCGGGTCAACCTAACTCTGAAGTCGAGGAACCCTCAGTCAGTCATTCAAGGCCCAGTTTGGTACCTGACGATGGCCGCTTTAGTGTGGACACAGCCAACTTTCCACTGGACGACGATGTTTACGGAATGAGCTCAGGGTTCGTCGACGATTATGACTACAGCGACTTTGACTCGGCTCTGGAAGACGATCCGATCATCGCTGCAGCAAACGCTGAAGCACTAGCATATGACGATGAAGGCTTCTACGGCCAGGAATTTGGCTTCTATGCATCCGCGGTTGGTGAGTCACCAAGTGCTTGGGGTGGCTTCTTTGGCCCATCCGGGGTCGGTCGCACTGTTAGTGGACGGAACGCTGTCAGGGAACCCAACCTGACGCCCATCACCGAACGAAGCGAATACAGCACACGCAACTCATTCATCAGTCTTAACCAATTCCGAGATGGACAACAGCCTATCACCAGTCCTGCACTAGCACAACTCGCCCGCATGAGTCCGTATGGCGGATTTTTCGGTCAAGAGGAAGAGGACATGAGTCTGGATAGTTTGATGAAGTTGAGAAAGGGAGCCTTTGGTGCTAGTGCTTCTAGTTTGCCAGGAAGCGTGTCTAACAGTCCACGTACTTCGTCGCCCATGGGCATGCAATTCGTTCCTCGGGCCACGACTCCTGCCGGAAATCGTATGATGGAGCACCCATCCAGTCCCGTGGAAAACCCATATTTTTCCAACAGTAATTTATCAGGACACCAACCCCATGACGATGGCGATTACGAGGAAGGTGACTCAAGTCTTATGGATGCTGTTAATGGCGCGTACGAGTCTGGTAGCTCCAGTGAAGACGAAACTGGTGGTAACGGACAAATGGAGAGCCCTACACTTACAAGCAGTGATTACAACAGTCTCTCGAGTCCAACCGGGCATATTATCGGAAACGAGGCGCCAGTCCTGCCTTCAATATCTGAGATATATGCTCAGCACAACTTGAGTCTGGTCATGTCTCCGATCAACATCCCTGTTACATCACCTTCACACATTTCGCTCCCTGCATCACCCTTCCCAATGGCACTGTCCTCGCCATTTCCGCCTCAGCCTCATACTCGCCCACCTAACCCCCCTTCTATCGACACCTCTCTTTCTTCACCAACCGCTGGCACAACCTCGACGCCTGGTGCGCCGAGGCGACAAAGCGTAGTTCTCAGTCCCATTTCGACATCTTCTCCCATTACACCAAATGGTGGTAGCAGTGCCGGGGGCTGGAACCGCGGTCACAGCAGGAAGGGGAGCGCAGCGGATAGTGTAACCTATGTTCGTGAACACGACGAGGCGGGAGAAGGGAGATGGGTACTTGAACGAAGGCGCACTGCTGAGAGTGGCGAGTTGGAGTTGATTGGAAGGAAGATTGTGGAGGGTGGACGTATTTAGATACCCCTTTGTTTTTTTGTAGATGTAGAGCGCAACTGCATTTGTATGGCGTCCTTTTGTTGTACATGCATGGCTCAAGAGGAGTTTGGCCGGTTCAAAGAACAAGCGAAAGAATGGGGTAAACGATTAGCATATACATATATACATAGCATACGATGAATGACTCTTTTGAAACGACATTTACCCTTTTTGGTTTTGATTTGCTATCCGAAGCGGAGTGAATGCAGAAGGTTTTGTTAGAGGTACCATTTGTATTCTTCAATTATACCTTGTACCTATGCAGCGACGATCACTGAATCTCCCCAATAAAACCTTATCCAAGAACCAAAATCAAGTCACAACCCCCCAAACCCTTTCATCCCAAAACCCCGTATCCTGATACAAAACAATAACCCAAAAAGTCAAACACTCATTCCAACCTTCCTCCTTTGACTTTCTCCCAACCCACCCTTCCCCCAAAAGCTCCGACCTGCCGTCACACCTCCAAACCCCACGTTCCCCCCGTCATCCAACCATTTGAGATTCCCAAACCAGCCTAGCGCCCACCCACCATGCACATCACGACATCCCACCCCTCGATTTCGTCTTTTGCGCAGCCCGCAACTCGCAGTATCCAGCACTAGTACTTCGCAGACCAGACCGAACCGCGGGCGGAAAAAATAAATAAGCAAATTCATTGGCTGAGGTGGGCAAAAATGTGAGCTTGGGGTTTGCTTTTTACTCCAAAATAACACCTCATTGCGTAGATGTGTCGAAGGGGAACTTGCAGCGGTCTAGGGGGTTATAGGTTTTATAGCCCCTGTGGTCTCTCCAATTGCAGAGCTCGTGTGCATGTAGCTGGTGCGGGAAGTGCCCACGTTCTCCAATCACGCAAATCCTGGTCAAATGGGACGGGCATGAGGGGGGGCGGCAATGCATGCGTGCTATGACGGAGCGGGATGAAGTGAAGATCGATGGAGGGATGACGAGGGGGAAATCTTGCATCATTTTGGGGGGAGGAAGGGTGATATGCGGGTTTTGAGCAAGGATGTGTATGGGTTTTGCTGAACCGAATGGTATAAAGAGCCTCGCCTTCGTCTTTTTTTTTCTCTTGCTGATAAAGTTTGTCCCTTGTCCCGTTGTTCCGATACTGTTTCTTCTTCATCGCCGTTTCCTTTCTTTTCCAAATCGACATCTTAAAATCGAAGCTGTTGCGCTTTGCAAAGGGCGGATTTGGAAAGCAGAAAACAAAAAAATGGCAGACGATAAACATGATGCTGAGCATGCGCTTAGCGATTCAGATACCACGACCGACGAGCAACAAGTTCTTGCGCAGACGAGTGAGGCAGAGGAAAAGAGGTTGCTGAGGAAATTGGATTTGAGGTTGTTGCCTGCGGTGTCGATTTTGTATTTGTTGTCGTTTTTGGATCGGAGTAATGGTATCTTCTTTTTCCCTTTCCTTTACTCTTTCCCTTCTCACCCTTCCTCGATTCTCAGTAATGGAGTATATTGAAAGAAGGACTGACAAATGGAATAGTCGCCAACGCACGCATCGAGGGACTTACAAAAGACTTGAAAATGACAGGCAACCAGTACCTAACGGGTCTCACGCTCTATTTTGTCGGATACGTGCTATTCGAGATTCCGTGTAATATTGTGTTGAAGCGGACGACGCCGCGGTTTTGGTTGCCGACGCTGACGGTGGCGTGGGGGGTTGTGGCGACGCTAATTGGTATTGTGCAGAACTTGACGGGGTTTTTGATCGTGCGGTTTTTGTAAGTCATATTTTCTCCCCTGTATTTGTTTCCTTCTTTCCCAAGCTGGTGGGGTTTGGATTTTGGAAGATGAAAAGAGGCTAACAAGGAGATTGTGAATAGCCTTGGTGTCACGGAATCTGGTCTATTCCCTGGAGTCGTGTACTATCTGAGTATGTGGTATAAACGGAATGAGCGGCAGTACCGTATTTCGCTCTTCTTTAGCTGTGCGTCGCTTGCTGGAGCTTTTGGTGGTGTATGTGGAATCCCCCCCCCCTTATTTCAAAAAGGAGAGAGAAGAATGTAAGCTGACACTGAAACAAGATCCTCGCATATGGTATCGCGCATATGCGTGGCGTAGCTGGGCAGCCAGGATGGCGGTGGATATTCATCCTCGTATGTACTACACGCTTCACAATCCATTGAACACATGAAGACTAAAATCTATAAACAGGAAGGCATCGCCACCGTCCTCATCGGTGTAATAGCATACTGGTTCATCTCCAACTATCCATCTACGGTATCATGGCTCTCCCCCAAGGAACGCACATTCCTCCAAGCCCGCCTCAAAGCCGACAGTGACGCCACAAACGATGAGGCCTTTTCCTGGGACCAAGTGATTCTCGCAGCTAAAGACATTAAAGTATGGCTATATGCGTTTGGATTCCACACAATGAGTTTACCACTTTATACTCTATCTCTATTCCTGGTATGTCTCTCCCTACCAAAAACTAACCAGTCAAATTAACAACCAAACAGCCCACAATCATAAAAGACATGGGCTACACCTCCGCCCAAAGCCAGCTCCTCACCATCCCCCCCTACGCCCTCGCCACCCTCTTCACAATCCTCATCGCCATCCTCTCCGAACGCTACGCCCGCCGCGCCGCCTTCATCCTCTTCACTTCCACCTTGGCAATCATCGGCTACATCATCCTACTCGCAAACACGAATCCGCGCGCACGCCCAGGTGTATCGTACGTCGGAACTTTCTTCGCCGCCGTCGGCATCTACCCGTCCGTCGCGCTCGTCCTCTGCTGGCCCGCCATCAACGTCAGCGGGCAAACCAAACGCGCAACAGCCAATGCACTGCAAATCAGCATTGGCAATCTGGGTGCTGTCCTAGGTACGCAATTGTACCGTGCGAATAGCGGGCCGAGATATATTCTCGGACACAGTTTTGCGCTGGGGTATCTGGTGCTGAATTTAGTGGTTGTGAGTGCGTTGTGGGTAGTGCTTAACCGGGAGAATGCGGAGAAAGATAAGGTGCTGGAAAGTGAACCGCATGTACCTGGGTTCCATGATAGCGCTGAGGATTTGGCGTTGGGGGATAGACATCCTAGATGGAGGTTTCAGGTTTAAGAGGGGAAAAAAGAGAGAGAGAGAGAGGGGTAAAGGGTGTTAGAGGATATGAAAGAGTTAAACCAGGATGGGTTTTTTGTTGTACATGTAAAAATACCTCGTTTTGCGATTGCTCAGCCATCTATCTAACAATCCCACCACATAAGCCGCTTTATCATCCTTCCCGCCCCCCCCCCCCCCAAAAAAAAGAAAGACGCTTTTGAACAAAGATACTCCCCTCCCAACATGCCCATTTGCTTTTACCAAAGCTTGGGGAAAAACATGGGCGTCTCTCTCTTCCACCGTTGATACTCCTCATCACCGCCATACTTCTTATCATACTTCTCCTCACTCAACGGCACCCCACTAATCTTCAGCAGCAAAAAACTCACAAAAGCCGGACTCGCCGCACACATACCCGTCACCAACATCTTGCCACTCAACCCACCACTAAGTCCCAATGCTGTCTGCGCCGGCTGCCTCACCAGCAACCCGGCCGCCGCAACCGCAATGCCCGACCACAACGTCGCCTCACCGAAATAATTCGGATGGCGAGACATGGACCAAAGGCCATGTGTCAAAAACTGCTCTTCATGCTTCTTCGCCTTCTTCGCCTGCACCCACGCATCCTTTTGCCGATCAGCCACAACCTCGAATCCTAGTCCGAAGACGAAAATCGCTAGACCCAGGATATCTGTTAGGTAGGGTTTTGAAGAGACGGCTTGACCGAGTAAGGAAGAAGCGTAGGCGGAGCGCGGTACAGAGTTGACGAGTATGACGGGAAGTGTACACAGTGAGACCCATGCTGCTTGTGCGAAAAACGCAACGAGGAATTTTGGGGGCGAAGAGCGGATGGAGTCGAAGCGCGAGTCTTTGCCGTCGTCGCTGGAGATGCGGCGGAAGAGGTATGATCCCACTGTTCAATCCCATTGTTAGTAAATAAAAAGAAAGGTTGTTGTCACGTGGAGTTCATTCCAGGGGGGAGAGGGGGGAAGGATTCAAGGCCTGGTTCACACATACACCTTGTAGCCCACAGGCCCACCGCTGCGCTCAGCAGCGCTTGTCTCCACCACCACGTTGTTGCCTGACCGAGACCTTGGTTGCCAAAGTAGTCGACGAGGCCATTTGTTGCTGTTCCTGCTGCTCGGGCGCGCAGGTAAGGGAGTGTAAGGCTGAGGGCTGTGCAGGAAAGGTAAGTCAGGCTGCCGCTGAGGTCGTAGTAGCGCTCTGTTTGGGCGGCGATGGAGGGGATTGCTACGGCGGCTTGGATGCCGTATGCAAGGGCTACGGTGGGGACAAGTGTGCGTAGCAATGGGTTCTTGAAGGCTGTTGCCCTGAGCAGTGTGTGTAAGAGTGTCATTTTTGGCGATATTACTATAGTAAAAGGTAGACTACGAGCGAGAGAGACTTTTGCTTCTTCGCAAGGCGGGGGGAGGTCCAAGGCCTTATTTAAAAGGCGTTGGGAATACGCCAGGCGTAATGGTTTCAGTGGCTTCCATAATTTGCTTGTTTGGCTGTGCACTGGGTTGGCCTGAAAGTTTGTTTTGGAAGGCCGCCGAAAAGCCCGTGAAACAGTATAATGAGCCTCAAGGGAAGATCATTAATCTGCCCTATGCCTAACACAGTGCATGCGATCTGCCCGATCTTGACTACAAGTAGCGATCAATATCGTCATTACTCGCTACTGACCAGCCTAGACGGGGGCCATGCCCCACCCCTGCGAAACCAGTTTGTTCTAGCCCGGTGTACTCGGAAGCCGGTGGACCTGCGCCCAGACATGTGAGCACCCTGGTCATCGGTGTATAGGACAAGTACGCGTTGCGGAAGAATCATTGCACCGTTCGACGAGCCCTCGAGAGAAATAAGCCGGGGAGATAAGGCCCGTAGATTCCAAACACGTGTTAGCTATCTTGTCCTGCCTGGGCTGAATTGAACGCCATGCAAGCCACGCAGTCGAAGAGTCTCCCCGTTAACGCATTTAGATCCGCCAATATACACATCCTCCATAACAACACACCGACGCAACGTCACAGCCCAAGCCCTCGCAAATGCAGACTTCCGCTCTTCCGAAGACACTATCTCTTGAACGCTGCGTCAATCTCCTTGCTGCCCCAATCAATTTCCACCTCGCCACTATATACATCCTGGTTGATCGTCATCATCCGCTCCGATACATTCATGTATGTCTTCTCGCATTCCTTGAGCACCTTGAATACGAGATCGCGACTAATCGATGGATCGTCTGCGTCACCAAAGTGCTTGTCCACTCGCTTCTTGAGCGACTCGATGCCTTTTCGCAGCTCCTTGGCATCGTGCGAGTGCACCAGCTTCTTGAATACCGAGCGAGAGTGTGAAGAGCGTTGCGAAATGGCTTGAGCGCTCGCGCCTGGCTGGCCAAGAAGTGTTTCGGTGGATTCGATAAATTCCTGGGCATTGTTAGACTAACCCCACAACTTAGCGTTGCATGTACACTTACCAAAAGTTTGCCCAACGGCCGCCGGATAACAGCATCAACATAAAGACCCATGTGCTCATTGTACTCGTCCTGCGCCTTGCCTTTCCAGTACTCCAGTACGGAAACGGAACGTGCATCCACTTCCTCCATGTAGTGGTTCATGTTTTCGATGAGCAGAATGTGGTAGTTCAGTGCCTCTTTGTCCTCGGGATCGCCCTGTCCTTGCGAAGCCATGACCGTGGGAGACTCCTTTGCAATCACCTTCAAACTCTCAAACATGGCCTTGTTGATTCTCTGATACCCATCATTGACCATGCGCCGGATCTCCAGTTGATCACCTCCCTCGGCTGAAGATGGCAACATGTTTTCGATGGCAACAGAAAAGTGGGGAAATGTCTTCATGAAGGATATGACACCCTTGCGTTTCTTGATCTTGACTTTGGTGTCTTCAATTGCCCGTATTTGTTCGTCCAGGAACCGGCTGAAGAGTCCTTGCAGACGCTCATGAATCTTTTGCAAGTTCCTAGTTAAAAAGTCTTGGTTTGTTTCCTCGATATCGAGCAACTTCCGATCAACAGCACAAAGAATGCCTACACCTTGCCTGTGGAGAGTTAGTATCATGACGATGCGCTATGAAGACAAGACTTACAGAGGATCGGCTTTCGTGGCCCAGTCCACAAGACTAGCAATTTCCGCAGGCCAGAACGAGAAAATCTCCTCCATGACTCCAGTAAGATGCTTCGCCATGGCCCTGTCTGGCTCGAATTGCTTTCTGATCCAAAGGTTAGGTCCTTGGCGATTCTCTGGAGGTGCTGCCTGAACCGCGTCAGGGAAATCGAGCGAGTCGGTTGACGTAGCGTGGAAGAATTCCGTGATGAAGTTTTGCTCCGTCAGTAGCACAGGGCCTGTGTCTTCTAGGACCCTAGCAAAGACATCGTATGCATGCAGCTTGCCATCTTGAGCTGCTGGTTTTGTCTTACTCTCTTTGCCATCTTTATCTCCAGAAGCCGCTCGTAAGCCACGAGCCAAAGTCTGACTTCGCTTGACAGTCAGCTTCCTGGCAGTCCCCGTGATACTCTCTGGCTCCTTCTCTTGTGCGGTGAAAAGCAGCTCTTGCTCCTCGCCACTGGGCTTCCGAGCAAATTTCCTCCAAGCCAGAATGTTATCACGAACTTCCTGTTGATACAATTGCGCTGCTTGGTTCTGGTACATCCGGAGAAGCATGTCCCATGAGGCCCTGTCGATTTCCTTGGCGAAGAGCATCACCGGACTTAACATCCACAGCTCGCTTCGACCAGTATCGTGTGCCTCAATGTTCTTCCTCAAAGACGGCATGGAGCCCTGGTCAAGATTCGAAAGAGCGTCTTTTGTTGACAGGAAAGCGGCACCAAAGGTAATCTCCATGTGCTTCTTGAGTCGCTCAAGGAACATAGTTCCTTCTCCAAGATACCTATCTCGCTTTTCTTGCAGAGCCTGCATTGTTGCCAAATCGCTGTTGCCTATGCCTGATCTTCCGTTCAACGTGTTCAGGGCATCGTTAGCACCGGCTCGGCTCCCTGCCACAAATGACGGATCAATCGTAACCAGCGCTTTGTATAGAAGAACCAAAGACGACTCAATGTCTTTGAGGCCACTAATCTTTCCTATTGGAGCACGTCTCAAAGGCTCTAGTTGGTCCGATGTGATTGAGATGGTATCGACGAGTTGCCGAAGTTCTTGCTGCAGCAAACGCTGGTTGGCCGTCTGGACCTGCAGACCCTGACTCTGTGCTTCGATGAAAGCAATGTCGTCGTTTAAGCTACTCAGTTCAACGTTATACAAGGTCAACAGACCTTCAAGCTCGTCGCATTCAGCAATGGCGCGATCCAGCATACGTTCAACAGCTTCCACACGGTCATCTTTTTGCTCTAGGTGGTTGAGCCAGCTCCCCGCTTCGACACGAGCGATCTCGCGTTTGATATCGGCTTCGAGGGATTCAATGTGTTTATGCGAAAGCTCATTACTGCCCCAGCCTAGCTCTGATAGTAGGTTGTCGAACTCAAGGCCGCGTTCATCAAGGATGCTAGGATCAATACCAAGCTTTGAGATGTTCACAATCTGCTGATTGGACCTACGCTTCTTACGTCGCACTTCAGGCTCGGTCTCAGCGTTTCTTGCCGCTGCTTTTTCTGGAGCTGGTGGTGGAGCTTCCTCTTCTACCTCTTGCTTAACCTCGGGCAAAGCTGGCACCAAAGGACCAGATACAGTGACTGATGGTACAACCTCGGTACTGATACGTGGCCGTTCCTTGGATGATCGATCTGGCACAGGTGGGGGTGCCTCCTCTGGCTTCTTCTCTTCCTCTTCTGGCTCCTCCTTTGGTGTTTCTTTTGGGGCCGGCCGTTGAGGTACGAACACTGCACTTACACCGTCAGGCTCGTCAGATGCCTTTGTGTCTTTGTTGAAGAGTTTTGCTGCCGCACCGCCTGCACGGGGCTTGAAAGCTCCTGCTGCTGCCGCAGCCTTTCGGAACTTATTTGCTGCATTATCAGCGACCAATGGTTTCTTTACCATTGGTCCAAGACCAGGACGAGGTGAAGCCTCAGTCTCTTGCTCGTCTATTGGGCTGCTGGTATTTTCAGCGGGTGCAGCTTGGGGTTCGGGTTCAGGAGCAGGTTCAGTCCGCACTGGTTGAGCTTGTACAGGAGGTGGTGCTACCTCCTCTGGTGGAGGCGCTTGTGGCATAGGAGCTGTTGGTATCCGTGGTAGCGGGGAAGTGGGTGGTGGAGTGGGCTGTGATCTGGATACTGCAGGGTCTGAGCGTGCAATGCTTTCTTGAGAAGATGGCTTTAACCGCTCTGGCGTCTCTTGGGGTCGTCTTCGAGGCGGTACTTCCATCGGCGGAGCGGGGGATGCCGAAGGGGTATGGAAGACTGAACGTGATTCTGTGCCTTGGCTGTCGAAGCTGCGCTGCGATAGCTGAGACGGACGCGTCTCCATTGTGGGTCTTCTCCGCTGTGGAGGTTCGTCTGGAGGCATGTCATCATGTCGGTTGAAGTTTGAACTGGCGTTGCTTTGAGAAGTACCTGGCCGAGCACCACTTTGGGCTGTACCGGGTCTCAGACCTCTGGGAGAGGGATCTCTCCGGGGCGAAGCATAGTCTCTAGGTCTGCGCGTGTCTGGTGTCGAGATACCTGGTGCTGCACCATCTATTGATCGTTCGTCAAACGATCTCTCTGGTCGTTGAGGCGGACCATCTTCAAAGGGCGGTCCGCGTCCGGGGCTAAGATTTGTCTGGTATTTCGCAGATTCCGGCGTTTTTGGTCGATTGGCAAATTCTGAAGCTGAAGACTGCGGTGTCAAGTTTCGTGGCGCAAGAGGCGATGTTGGTGGCATGAAATTTGGGCCGGGGCCAGGGCCAGGACTGGGGCGGGGTCGCATACTGTCACCGCTGGGTCGCGCTCGAATGGTCGGATCCATGGGTTGCTTTTGCCTTAGATTAGGCATGGATGGAGCAGCTTGCATCTGATTTGGCAGAAATGGTGGACGTCTGCGAGCCTCGTCGCCAGTGTTTGGTCTATCATCGTCTGGCCGGCCTGGCCTTCTCGGACCCTGGAATTCTCCTGGAGGTCTCCTGAAATTGGGATTTGATCCGGGTGGCGGTCCTCTTCTGCCATCCTCTGCTGCGGGGGGTGGCATTTCTCCAGGTCTTCTTGGGGGAGGTCCGCCTGCTTTTGGAGGTATAGGTCTCTGCTCTAATGGTCCCGGTCGCTGTGGCCCCGGGCTACCGCCTGCTGGACTGCCTGCTGCTGTTGCGGCCCGGCCCTCGGGTGTAGCGAGATGTGGCTGTCCATTCGTAAGGCTGTTGAGTTCGGAAGCACTGAATCCTGTCAAGATGGGAAAGTCACCCTTAGTATACTTATTGTAGATCTTGACCATACTCCCTATGAAAAACTCCTTCTCTTTTGCAGTCCCAGCTTCCCAGTAGTATGGCTTGGTGATGGTAACAGTGAAGCCTTTGTCTCCGGCCCACTGCTTGCGTTGCGCCTCTTCTTCATTGGCAGGGTTGAGGTGGACATAGTTCTCAACCGCAGACAGCTCTTCCATGGGCCAAGACTTTCCAATAGAAAAGGTGCCGTTGGCGTTCTCCCTAGCCTTGTGCAGCTTAACTCTGCCTGTGTTGCGCACGGATATCATAATGATTCTCGCCTTCTTGTTTGAAGATGGTGAGTTTGGCGGAGGGGGAGCCTGCGGATATGCGCCATCTTCCTGGACACGAATGTGGGTAATGTAGGATTCCTGGACTAGAACATGTCAGCATAACTCAGGCCAAGTCTAGGAACCAGCAGGATAGGCAAGACCTAGACATGTATGCCAACTGTATTTGTGGTGGTATCCAGGAACACGTACGCTGTCCCTGCTCGTCCAACTTGGAGAAGCAGCTCTCAGTAATCCGACGTCGCTCGTCGTCAAACCGCTCGGCGCGCGACATGCCGGAGGGTGCAGAGCTCGAGCTGGAGGCAGAGGGGGCTCCTCTCGAACCCCCAGTGGGCGGACGCATTGGGGGAGCTCGAGGGTCCCCGCCTCCGTTGGTATAGTTGCGTGGCCTCCCGTCCATCTTGACTGAGGTGTTGGTAGCTACGCCCTGAAGGGTCCCAAGTCTGAGCAGATGATGTGCCGACTACTTTCACCCAGCGGTAGCGAGGGTTCTTCGTGGTAATGCCATCAATGGTGAATCGTGGTAGTGGTGGTCCTTGCGATGCTGAGCTGGTTGGTTCGTTGGCTGGTCGGTCCTCCGTGAGCGATGGGATTGGGCAGCAATATGCGATACACGTCTTGGCCGTATCCGCTGGAACTGAGTCGGATGTGTGCAAGTGGAAATAGCGGAGACGGCGAGTGAAAGGCCCAAATACCACCCTGCGCAGGTGAGCGACGTTTGGCGTCGTGTACTCACATATGAGACGGCAGGCGCGCGGGACTGGGATCACGCTTGCGGCCTAGCGCCATGCAAGGTGTATTCCGCCCGCCGTAACTTTTTTCTCGCGCGCGACCTGCAACCTTTCGATTCTCCACAATCCATCTCCGTCATTACTACGCGATACACGGCCCCCATTGCTCATCATGGCTGGCGACAAGAAACTCGCCAAGAAGTCCAGCTCGGACAAGAAGCAGAAGAAGGCGTCTGCTGCAGCAACATCAACAACAACGGCCGCTCAGGTACCACTTGACCTTGTCAGAAGGTTCCTCGAGCAGCAGGGAGAAAAAGGCGCCGCTAGCAAGCTCAATGAGTTTGAGAAGTGGCAGAAGAGCGGAGGCGAAACCAATTCCCCAGATGCACCCGAGCCCATGGACGTCGACGAGGAGAGCGCCTCCAGCAGCGATTCGAGCAGCGGCTCCGATAGCGACTCGGATAGCGACTCCAGCAGCGACTCCAGCAGTGAGTCAGAGGCTGAGAAGAAGCCCCAAAAGGCGAAGAAGGCGCCTGTAAAGAAGGATGATTCGAGCTCGTCGAGTTCGGATTCGAGCTCAGACTCTTCCGACTCGGAGTCGGAAAAGGAAAGCGCCCCCGTCAAGCCTAAAGCAAAGAAGGCCAAATCCGTCTCATCATCTTCTGCTTCTTCATCCAGCGATTCTAGCGACTCCAGCGATTCGAGCAGCAGCGATGAAGAGGAACCTGCCAACGTACCTCTGCCCGATTCCGATTCCTCGGCCGCATCAAGCGATTCATCGGACAGCGACTCTGACAGCGACAGCGACTCTGGTAGCGACTCCGACAGCAGCTCCGAGTCAGAGGCCGAGAAGAAGACAAGCAAGAAGAACAAGGGCAAGAAGGCTGCTTCAGTATCATCTTCAGCTGCTTCTAGCACTTCGGACTCCAGCGACTCCAGCGACTCCAGCGACTCCAGCGACTCCGAAAGCGAAGCCGACGCAAAGTCGACCAAGACAAAGGCTAAGAAGAGTGGAAAGAAAGCAGCCACGCCTTCCTCCGACAGCTCCTCAAGCTCATCCGACAGCGATTCGAGCTCTTCTGACAGCTCCGATTCCGAGTCAGAAAAAGAGTCCAAATCTGCTGCGTCCGAGCGCAAGGGTTCCACCAGCGACTCTTCCCACACCCTTCCCGCAGCATCGCCTGTGCCCGCCAATAACAAACGCAAGGCTGGTTCGCCTTCTGCAGAGGCCCCGAAGTCAAAGCGAAGCCATGTCGAAAACCGATTCCAGCGCATCAAGCCTGACACAAAGGTTGACCCTAGGCTCGCAAGCAACGCATATGTTTCATACGACTATGCCGACCGCGCTCATGCCAAGCTGATCGTCACAAAGGGCAAGGGATTCACCAAGGAGAAGAACAAGGGAAAGAGAGGCTCCTACAGAGGTGGTATGATTGATACCTCTGGCGGCAAGGGTATCAAGTTCGAGGATTAAATGTCTGGTTGGACCTAAGAATCTGATCCAGAGTCCTCAGTCCTTGCCGTCTCAACTGCGCCATGCACGTGCAGCCATTCGAAACATTAGGAGCAATATTTGCGCGCTTACGCCTGGGCGTGGGGGAGCAGCAGAGGCGCGATCTTGAACCTTCAACATCGCATGAAAAAACACGGATCATTGGCGCGTACGATTTCGGCGAACTGGAGTTATCATGTACACCAAAAGCAACATACCCTTCGATGCCAGTACTTTATATTAGATTTTGAGCAGTTGACAGGCTGTCAAATCAGTCTGGCTGGATCAATAGATGTCTATATATTCTACATTCAGTGTACACGACCAGGTCTCCCTAACTCTTCATATGTGATCTTGACTTCGTGCGCGAGGTAATAGCATTCAGACACTTCCAACGTCACAACAATCTGAATACACCCTGTATAATCCTGTTTGTAGACCCCGTCATCATCCCAATCGCTAATGCCTGAGAGTTCCTAACCCTTCCCGTCTGATAGTACAAATATCCCATCCAGCCCCTCTCACCATCCCACCCCTCAAGCTTTCTCCCCCTCCTGCCCAAATTCCACCGGAAGATTCATACCCACTCTCCGCGCACTCAATCGTACTCTCTCTTCCTCCGTCATTCCCATACCAGGATTGTACCGCTCCAATAACGACGCATATGTCCGTTGCGCCTGCACGTATTGTACGAATTGCTCTGCCTGCTGTATCTGGCCGTGTGCGCTTGAGCCCACTTTTGGTGTTACGATAGCCGAACGTATGGTTTTTTGGAGGACGGACGGGGCAGAAAGCTTTTGGTGCTGTGTCCGGCTTGTTTGAGGGGTGGAGGGGAGTTCTCGGAGGAGACGGCGGTAGAGGGAACGGATTTGGGTGGGGGCTTGCTGTGCCATTTTGAAGGATGTTGTTTCGAGCGATTGATTGAGTGTGTATGGGATATGCGGTCAAAGAAAATATTGGGTTGCGGTTGCGGTTGCGGGCAATATTGGAGGTTGAAGTTCGCCGCGGAGGTGCTGCGGCGAAAAGTTGCGGGTGAGCTTGGACCAGGTGTGGACTTTGGATTTCGGATGGGGTTGTAGAGAACTCTTTGGGGACTGCACGCGATGAGTGGTTTTTCTCTGAGGCCCGGCTACGTATGTAGTAATTGCATACAGAATATTTCCCGCCGGAATTCTAGACTTTTTACTCGATCCCAGCTGCGTGCGCAATCGACCAGTGCTTTTCCACAGGATGTGCCGAACCCAAGGCTGCGGCTCCAGAAACACTGGAGTGGAGATGTCAAATCTAGATATAGAGAAGAACTGCCAAACCAGAGTACACTGCATATGAGCAAGACGAAAGGTAGCTTCCGGCTGGAGTTGACCGCAAAACAAACCTCATCTGCGACCGGGGGTGATCCCTTTCCAGAGGAACCACGACCACTTTCAATGAGAGAAAGACGACAACGGAGAAGAGAAGGCGCTTTGAGGTCGTCAACGATACATGTGGATCCAGCTCACCTTCCGGAGCGAGTGAAGCGAAAATTACAGGACCAGCTGGAAATTTCGAAGCTCCCGGCAGTGGAAAACGAAGTTGTGTCTCCTGAGCCCTCAGTACCACAAAACTTTGAAGCCAGTGGCTCAACATCATCAAACAAATTCCCAGAGTCATCATCAACTCTCAGAAGGGATGCCCCACGACGTTCACGGAAAGGAAAGGCCAACGAGGTCATAGAAGACCTCCAACCATCTGCACCCTCACCACCACTCGGCTCGAGGCGCAAATCCGAACCCACTCTTTCGTCCATAAAGCCCGAACTCCCTTCTAGCCATATCAAACTTCATTTCAGCAAGCTAGAAGACTTCCATTGGTACTGGGAGTCGTTCCCACCAACCATCGCGCAAAAAACACAGGCAAACCACTTCTTCACGAACAACAGCAAGAACGCAAAGTTACTTCGAAGCGTAGCACAATTCCGCCTGTTCCCAGAATCAGACGTACCGGAGGTAGCCTTTGTTGGTCGATCCAATGTCGGAAAGAGCTCGTTGCTCAATGCTGTTGTGAACGCAGATATCAAGGCGCTGTTAGCACGCACATCGTCAACACCAGGCTTTACCAAGACAATGAACCTCTATGGCCTGGGCGCCGGAAACGGTGTAACCATCAAAAAGCAGCCCAACGGACGCGACAAGATCATAGGCATTGGTGGTCTGACTATTGTCGACATGCCTGGATACGGCGAGGGTTCGCTTTCCTCCTGGGGCGTGGAAATCATGAAGTACATAAGCAATCGCAAGCAACTTCGCCGTGTGTTCGTCTTACTCGACGCCGAGCATGGTATCAAAGACAAAGACCGTTCACTGCTGGCTTCTTTACGTCTGACTGGTGTGAGCCACCAAGTCATTCTTTCTAAATTAGACAAGCTTTATATTCCCAATGCCAAAGATATCAAGCGCTTTGATGGCAAGTCTGCTCGCCGCCTGGCCCCAAAGGGTACGCCTGAGGATCTTAGGAAGGCTATGGAGAAGCTGAAGAATGAAATTCAGCCGCCGGTTGGAGGTGGTGCATTAGGAGAGATTCTGGGTGTGAGTGCGGAGACCTTGGTTGATGGTAAGAGATTGGGCATTGATCATGTGAGATTTGCAATTTTGAAAGCAGCGGGCTTGGATGCGAAGTTTAAGAAGGACGTTAGTACGCCTTGGGCCAGAGATAGCTGAGAATTCCATGATTGGCTATTTCTGTTCTTGTCTTTTATAATTCGGATCTTCCACAAAGTCCAATGGTAAGATTCTTGCAGTAATATGCAAGTCAGGTGATGTTCGTGATCGCCGACCTCAAAGTATGGCGAATACATTCAACACTTACACCGATCTCGGGCATACTGAATATATCACTCAAATCTGGTAGAAAAAAGACTCATCAGAGTTTACATAGTAAGACCGACTGTGGCTGTGGCTGTGACAGTCGATCTTAGGTTTACGAGGAAGGTTTCGCGCATGCTGATCTGCCGGCGTCTCCATGCGGGGAAGCGGATTCGGCGAATCTCCGACGGTATGTTTGCCGTGAGGAACCATTATCCCTCCCTCCAGCAAAGACCCGACCCTATAAGAATGCATACGGGGTGAGATGTACCGAACAGGTTACTAAATTGGGATCAGTATCAGATTGGTTCACGGCTCGTAGATGAGTTCTGGGCCAAACATCGGCCGAAAGTACCGCCCTCCTTTCGTGTATATGAGCAGTTTAGCATCTACACAATCTACACGATGTTTCCACAATCACATTCCAGACCTCAGAAAAAATGCAAATACTCATCACCGGAGCTGCCGGCTTCATTGGCCAACTCGTAGCGAAAAAGCTACTCGAAGACAAAAATGCCGCTCACTCACTCATCCTCACTGACATCATCGAACCTCCCGTCCCAAAATCCACTCAATCATCCAACAATATCCAAGCCATCCGCGCAGATCTATGCACCGAATCCTCCTCCGTCGTAACTCCCAATCTAGACGCCATCTTCATCTTCCACGGCATCATGTCCTCCGGCGCAGAAGCCGACTTCGATCTCGGTATGCGCGCCAACTTCGACGCCACCCGCGCTTTACTCGAAGCCATCCGCAAGACCAGCCCAGGAAGCCGAGTAATCTATGCCTCAAGCCAAGCCGTATACAATAATTCTGTCACATTGCCGGTTACGGAATCGCAGCTTCCAACCCCAGAGACCAGCTACGGCGCCGAAAAAATGATGTGCGAGTACCTTATCACAGAATATACGCGCCGCGGTTTCATAGACGGAATCTCGCTGCGTTTCCCCACTGTGTGCGTGAGACCAGGGAAACCCACCGCAGCAGCGAGTTCTTTCATCAGCGGTATGATCCGCGAGCCCATGAATGGCATCAAATGCGTTATCCCACTCTCAGATAAGCAATGGCGTCACTGGCTCTGTTCGCCACGCATCCTAGTCCAGAATCTCGTCTACGCCGCTACACAGTTCGACACCACTCGCCTTGCTACTTTTGACCGTGTGCTAAATTTCCCGGGCATTGGTGTCTCGATTCAGGATATGATGGATTCACTTGCGAGGGTGGGCGGGAAAGATAAGTTGGCGCTGCTGGAGATGAGGGAGGAGGAGGAGTTGAAGAGGATTTTGGAGTCGTGGCCTGCGGAGTTTGATAATAGGAAGGCTTTGGAGCTGGGGTTTCAGAGAGATGAGGGATTTGATCGAATTGTCAGAGATTATGTGGAAAGTTTGGGGGAGAAGGTGGGTGAGGAGCAGGTTGGGGGGAAGGCGGAGGGAGTAAGTGTTAGGACTGTGGAGGTGGTGGCGTAAGGGTAACGATGGATAGGAGAGTATTTTTTGGATGGTTTTTGGTTTATATTATGGATAGATTATGAATATACCTTGGGTAGGCTGGACAGGTACGTAGGAGGAATTTTGATATGAGTTTTGGTAAGTTGGCTGTGTGGCTTTGTTTACGCCTGTGACTCGAATGACTGAGCCATTCATCACTCAACAATGATGTCAGTGATTGATAAACAAACTTCCAGTGAATACCATTCTCTGAGGTGATCTACGGAGATATTCATTGTCATCGCCGCTGATACCCGGATTTCACAAACGAAAGTGAGAGATATACAAGTCCCAAGACCTTTTGTAGCCTTGGAGTCCAACAAAACCCAACCTCACAAACCTTTTAATCTCGCACTTGGGCCTAGGTAACCCAGGGCAATTACCACTCGGACCAATGGTGCCTACGTCACTCCTTCACCCTCTCCCTCCTCCTTAGCGCTCCCCACTCTCTATATAAACCCCCGCTCCCACCCATCTACCACCCTCTTTCCTCATCCAACTCAGCATATATTCTTACTCAATGCATCTTTATCCTCTCATAGGGGCGGATTCGTCCAAGAAATCCGCCACCTCCGCCTATCTTTCTTCTTCTTCGGTTGATTGATCGGGAGAGCTTTTGGTAGCGTAAGAGTTCCTCGATCTTTTTTTGACGACAACGATCTAACGTACTTGATAGAAACCTTTTCAGACTCTTCCCTGGTATATCCAGGTGATATACAGGAGTCTGGAGGTGTCTCCTGGAGGCAATTCACCCATTACAGCCTTGTGCACTACTCTCTGGAGTCTTTCCCCGGTCTATCCGGGTGATATACAGGACTCCTGGGGGAGTGCTTGAAGAAGGCAGATAGTATCCTTCCCTTTTACCTTTGGGTAATACAAAGGATACTTGGGCTTCCTCAACCACTGCCGAGACTTCTCCCCGGTATGTCCGGGTGATATTTGTTGTGGTTTGGAAGTCATATGAGGTATCATCACACCCTTCCCCCCATCTCATGGCGCTGCCTGCCAACTCTCACCTCCCTCACCCGCCCATCCTTCCCTGGTGTTCCAGGTGATATACAGGAGATTAGGATATCCCGGGCACCCACATCCTTTCCAGATCATCCCTGATCTCTTTCTTGCCATCCCGCGACATGTCCACTTCGGGCAGCTCGCCAATCCAAGAACCTCTTGTCGCAATGGCCTGCAATTCACGGCTACAAGCGTGTAGTACGACTTCCCCCACTCCCTATTCCAACACCGTTCTAACATTCGCAACAGATGTATTCCAAACTCTTCCCCGGTTCGCTGGGCGATACACAAGAGTTCTGGAATCCCAGCCGCCATCCCCGGGTGATGTGACGACGATGACAACAACCCAAGCGACGAGAACCTGGGGGCGTCTATCCGAATGCTTTTGTCACTCTTGACTCATTCTGGACGTCCCCTGGGTGATGCAACAATTATGGCATGACTATGTTCCACTGGGAGAGACGGGAGACGTCGTTCACCAAGATCATTCCCATTCTTATTCCTTCCCCGACATCCTCGGGTGATATCAGGACTCCTCCGTGCCTCTGGACAACCTCACAATTCCTTCACTGGCATCACTGGGTGATACGACAATGAGAAAGGCTCGGCATATGGGCGGGTGAGGCCACTGCACATGGTAAAGAGCAAGCTCTTTAAGACACCGTCGGTTCCAGGAAGCCCCGGCATTGGTTTTCTCCTCAGCGGAGACATGGTAGTCTCCAGCCTCACTGATCTTCTCCACTGCGGTCCTTCCCCGGTATCCCCGGGTGATATATGGACCGCATCAACGCAGATGAGGATCGTTGAGCAGGGAAAGAGTGATGGTTCCTGCCTGGAAAAACATTCCCAAACTTGAGAATCGGGCGCGCGATCCAGCCCCGTTGTATGGAGGACGGGGCTGCGCAATCCAGCCCCGTTTTTATAGGAGGAGCGGGGCTGGGCAGAATGATATGAGAGATGGATGTTTTGGCTGGGGTTAGAATATGATAAGGTTTTCTCTCTCATAGTTCGAGGGAGTGGTGTCATGACCAACTTAGGAGAATCCCTCCTGAGGTTTGGTGTATTCGTATTTGTTTTGGAATATTCAATGGAGAATTATTACTACTTCAGATTCTACGCTTCTGATCTTCGTGATATGTTTTCGTACTCTCTTTCTCGTTTGAACACTATCTTGATGTGAGCCTCACAGATGGACAGTTGCTCCTTTACATCTCCCTAGCAATCAATACGCCATGGGCCATCGAATTCAGGTAGGTCACAGCAGTTTTCATACGTGGATGACGAAAATAACACTGGCAACGATCACTTCATAGAAGATTGAGAGGAGAAAAGGGTATCATTCCATACATCTACTCATCCAACAAATCCATCACTAATTGCGGAATAACTTGCACACCCTCCCCCTTGATCGCACTAATTGGCACAGCCTGGACATTACGCTTCCACGCATGCTGGCGATGACTCGGGTGCGGTAGGGTGCCCTTGGTCACTCCATCCAAATACTGAAGAAGCGACTCAAAATTCGCCTGCGTATCTGGCAGATCTGCCTTTGTCGCGACAACAAACCACGGCTTGGAAGATATGGGAGTTGTAGTGATGAACGGGAGCGGTTTGGGAGACGGATCCAGCTGCGGCGAGTCGATGAGGTCGGAAGTGTCGCTGGGAGGGGGACTGCTGCTGCTACCAGCAGGCATGTAAGTGACCATTCTGCGTTCCGTCTCTGCATTGAGCTCCTTGCCGCGGAGGGTCTCGTACTCGGAGACTTCGCGCCAGAGGAGCTGCAGCGCTTGGACTGCGTCGCCGGCGGAGAGGTCGATGACAAAGGCGAGGACTGCGGCGCGTTCAATGTGGCGCAGAAAGCCCAGTCCAAGTCCTTTGTCTAAGTGGGCGTCCTCGATAAGCCCGGGCACGTCAGCAATGGTGAAATTTTCTCGCAGTTGGCCATCGGGCCTGCGTGACCTGACGAGTGGACGGCCCTTGTGGTTGTCTAGCACAACTGTGCCAACATTTGGTTGAAGGGTTGTAAAGGCCCAGTTACCAACCCGCGCACGGCTGTTGCTCAAAGACCGTAGCAGCGTGCTCTTGCCTGCATTGGGCAGACCCACGAGACCCAGATCGGCAAGGATCTTGAGTTCGAGCTGAAGGGACAACTTCAAGCCTTCGTCACCTCGCGTGGCCATCTTGGGGCGCGAGTTGAAGGGTGTCATAAAGTGCGGATTGCCCAGACCACCCATGGCGCCCGCTGCTATCAACATTGGCGTCTCCATGTGCTTGTCTAAATCCAGCCACAAAGGTGCCTCGGGCTCGAGAGCGGCAAGGTGAGATCTACGTGGCGGAGGGAGCTTGGGAAACTTGATCCTGCTCAACTCCGAGGCCATGGTGCCAGGATATACAAGCCACCTATCTCTCCTATAGCTAGGCTCGCCCTGTTCGAACTCTTCCTCTTCGGGATTCTGCTCCATCTTCCAATGCTCTTCTTCCATGATAGCAATAGGGTCATGCCTCTGCAGTTCGCGCACAATGGTTCCTACAGGGACGGTAATCAGAATGTCTGTGCCCCGCTCGCCGCCCTTGACTTTGCCCTGGCCATTGCGCCCTCTTCCAGCCTTAATTAACCGTCGCCGGGCCAGTTTGTGCAGGGACGTCTCGCCGCGAACGGCTTGAATGTACACATTGCCTCCGCTGCCGCCATCACCGCCGTTGGCAGGCCCTTCTTCAATGTACTTTTCGCGCAGAAAAGATACACATCCATGTCCGCCCCCGCCAGCCTCGACTGTGAGGATGCAGCGATCGGCAAAGGGTGTGAGTGAATAGTCGTCGGGTGTGGGGTCCAGTCGAGAAGTATCAGATGTTGAGTTGCATCTTCGCTGCGGCAGACGTGGTTTGCGAAGCAGCCATCTGCGTGCAAGTAGGCCAAGTTGCGCCTGGGACACGGCGGGGTATAGAAACGGCGTCAGCGTACCGCTAAAGCAGCTGGGTCGAGCGAAAGACATGCGTCGAGGACACAATTGGGGGCGTAAATGGTTTGTGATATCTCATGCCGTAGATTTCTCAAGTACGTACATCATCGCGCCGCCGAGTTAGCCAATCGCGGCCCAGTGATCGACGACGCTTGCGCGCAACTAGATCCTTGGCATCTTCTTCATGTTGTCTCTACGTTCCGTAACTTGAACGCCACGGCTTCATTGCCTACCCTGGCCTGTACACGACGGTTTAGCACCTGTCTCTAATGACATGATCTATCTGTGAGTGGCTTATCCTAATACTTGGTTCGGAAGTAGACCCGCCGACCCCGATATCTTCGTATCCACAACTACCTATAGGTACATACCAGCGGATTCGCAGTATATTTTCTTTTCTCTACGTGTTCAAAACTGCAGCTACATCTCCTCTTGTTTGCCAATGAATCATTGCCTGGCTTGAAGTATCAGGACTTGCACAACTTCTGCAAACTCCGGACTCGACCTCGTTCACCAACAACATATCCGCCCCGCCCCCACCATGATCCAGTGTGCCTTGCTCGCCCTAGGGGCGGCTATGCTCCATATCAACAACCCAGTGTGGTCAGATCTTGGCAGCAAGCTCGGTCTTTCTAACACCCTTGCTGCAACGGTTCACTGGTTTCTCAAATGGACGCTCTCCGTGTGGGCTCTTCTCGAAGCGAACTGGACATTAAACCGCTGGGCCTACAGGCGATGGCGTTTTTCCACCGACAAAAGCGTCTGGAACTGGAAGCGCGAGGTAGCTGTTGTGACTGGAGGCTCAGCAGGCATTGGCGCCTGTGTTGTAAAGAAGCTCGCTTCCCATGGTATTAGGGTCGCAGTTCTTGACGTTAGCCCCCTGTCAGATGTCTTTACTAGAGGTTAGTCCCAGCACAGATCCAACACCTTCCTTGCTGACAAGGAACCAGATGAGCTCGCTCTTATTCGGTTTTACAGCTGTGACGTCACTTCGCAAGACAACGTCCGCCAGGCTGCGGAGGCTCTACGTTCCGACCTTGGTCATCCGTCCATTCTGGTCAACAATGCTGGCATCGGGAACGCGTGGACCATTCTCGACATCCCCTATGCTCGTCTCCAGAGCATGTTCAACATCAACTTAATGAGTCATTGGATCACTGTGCAAGAATTTCTGCCCGACATGCTTAAGAAGAAAAAAGGTCATGTAATGACCGTCGCAAGTCTCGCTT